TGCCGAGGTTGAGGAACCCTGAACTAGAGGTTCACCCATCTTAAAGTTGCCAAGGTTGAGGAACCCTGAACTAGAGTATACGGCTTAAAGTTGTCTTCAAAAATACCGGGGAAACCAAAGTGGTTAGAGGTGAAGATCCATTCAAACTCATCTACAGGACACTTTAAAATAAATATCCAACCTCACTCTTCAGATTCAATGATAAGTATATACTAATTCTCTCATATGCTCTCAAGATACTCTGATAGAGATATGCCCTACTCTTGTTACCAGATCTCATCAGGGTACCTCTAAAAGTTTTTAGGCTGCCAAAAATAATGGACAGAGCAACACTGCAGAATGCTAAATTCCTCTTCTGCCATCCACTCGCTCACACCCTGGCACAGAATTTCATACACTTATCTATATGCAAGCTTTGCCTCAGATTGACCACCTAATGCATAAATACAACCTTATCCTTTAATATTTCACCTGTGTCAAGAGTATGCAAGGCAATATACCATAAAAAGTAACCACTAGAATCTGTAAAATCTGTAAGATAAACCCAGATGTCATGACAAAAGCTGATTTTCCAGAATTGTGAGTCACTTGTACGCCTAAGTTCTTAACTTCCACTTTAGAGAGTAATGCATTTTACCTGGGGTCTCCTTCATGTGACATCAGGCATGGGACTTACTTAAAAAAAGGTAATGAAGTAAATTTTGAAAAAAAGGAAGTTTTATGCGCAGGAAAAAGTGCCCAAAATGAGATCACCAACAACACGGGTATGTTTCTAGCAACACGTCAAAGTAGCTAATGAATACAAGAATGCTGTACCAAATTTAATATCAAACCACAGGCAAACGGGGGAAAACAAATTAGTGACCCACATCCCATCCTCTAATCCTAGTTAATAATCAGCAAGTTACCGCTACACTGGCCCCCGCATTCCATTTTGAACTATAAATGAAGGTCATGTTTTTAATATAGATGAAAAGATATGATACCATTATAGCAATGGTATTACTTGTTTATTCTATGAAATAATATATGATTATGTATCATTAACCTTTATATCATCACTTCTACTTATTTCATGGACATTTCTTTCCTAGGATTTTCTGCATGATTTTCTTCCCTTGGTTAAATACTATTGCCAAAAGAAAGGGGGGGGGGATAAATATCCTGCCACAAGAACAAATCAAAGGGGAAAAATGACCCTCAGAACTCTTCAATCCTCAGAAAAATCAGGTTACATTAACCCTTTCTAGTACAAATAATAATCAACCAGTTTCAGAAACCCATAGAATCCACTTTTTTCCTCATTCCTGCAGAAGGCAGAGGCTACCAAATTAAACTTTGGGTCAGCTGCATTTTACAAAGCATGACAAAAAAATAGGGCTGCATTAAAGTCATGACAGGGAATCAGATGGCAAGCATTCGCTTTCAGTTAGTAGGAACAATTTGTTCCTATAGAGGAACACATAATTTTAATGATTTCATCTTTTTGCTAATAGTTATCAAGTTGGTACACCCAAAATAAAGAATTAAAAAAAAAATCCTGCACCACTCAATATAAATTGCAAGGGTAACTTGCAGAATAATTCTTTTCACTTTAGATAATATTCAAATGATTCAAAAGATAAACTTTAAAACATGATACAAATTTAACTGGCACAAAGTGCATATATGTCTCAACCAGACTCCCTAAAATTACAAGATCTGAAGTCCACTCACATTTTTGTTTCAGAAAAAACATAACAGATTGAAGTGAAGCACAAAAGTCAGTGTTATTGTGAAGCAGCTATGGAAAGTTAAAAAAACATTTAAAAGGATTCTAAATGCATCATCCAAGGCTAACTGGATAATATATAGTAGTTCAAATACCGTAGTTCTAGAGCTGTTTCACCTTTTTCTGAAAAGGGTTAATCTATTTTGACATTATCCTTTACTGATATTTATTTATACAAAGGAAAAATAGCCAAATGTCTTCTTAAACATACAAAGGCATAATCTAGTACAGAATTAAGCATGCATAATCCCTAAATCACTGCTACAGTAAAAAGCACTGCTATTTTTCCTGCCGTAAAAAACATCCGCTCCCAAAATCATTGTGACTATGACTAACAAGGGATTTCAGACACTGAGTGAAGTAATTCCCTATTTTTGTAATAAAAAAAAAAAACCACACAAAAACATCTACAACAGCTGTTATCAACACTCTGCAGGGTTATGTTCAGAAGGTGCTAACACCACTTTTATTCATTCTCTGTACTCAATGGTTAACAAGCTGACCTGCCCCAATTTTCATTTGCTGTTTTGTCAACAGGATTGAGGAAAGCTGTTTGGATCCTTATTTCCTATTTTACAGCAGAAGTTCAAAGTATCATCCAAGGTTATGGTCTTTACCAAACCATCAAGACAGCATAAGTAGCAATTGCATAGAACTGGGAAAAGGCATGTTCTTTAAATACCTGAAAGTTGCCTTCCACACAGTCAGTTTAAGAAAGATGCATTCTAAATTCACAAGTGAGTTAATTCTCACAATCAGCGAAAAGCAGCATGATAGCAAATCTGTTACAAAAAAGACAGACGGAAACAGACCAGCCTACTCAAAAGAGGGGACCGAGTAATCTATGAGGGTGGGGGCAAAAATAAATGCAAGAGGATCTGAAAACTTTCTATTTATGGGGCCTATCCTTGAATCATGGGAGTTGATGGAACTCTTTACTGTGGCTTCTAAATTTCATCAATAAATATTACTTATTTAAAGTTCTTGGATTTCTTGGGAGTTGGCTGTTAGTGGTTCATTCCTGCCTATGGCGGGGATGACACTATGTATTGCTTTTTTAAAAAACTGGTAACAGAAGTGTTGCCACCATCCTGAAGTTTCATGTTTGGCATTTATATATTTATAAATACATAAAATATATATATTATATATGTGGCATATCTATAAGGACTATAGCCAATTTAGGAAAGGTCAAATCTAAATCCTTAAGAACTATTTTATTAGTTCTACAATGTTTCAAATGCAGTACTTCATCTGTAATCAGAGAAGAGAAAAACTAGGGTATGAACTTGCTAAGTGGTAAAATTTAATTTTAACCAGTTGTCTTCCATCAAGTCTGGTTTCTTAATTCCCAAAGATAGTTTTCAGTATATCTAGAAGAAAACCATGAAAGAAACTTTTAATCTTGTGTTTTGCCCAAAAATTTGGATTTGCTATGGGGTTTCACAAAGCTAAGGCCAAGACCTACAAGGGGATTAAAATCTTATTTCCCGTTATCAAACCCTTGGTTTCCCATCAGGAAACATTGCACTGCAAAGACTATATTTTAATCTCATTGTCCATAATCAAAGGAAGACCTTTACTATGACCTATTTTAATATTATTTCATTAGCTTCACTTGAGTATCTGGTTGGGGAAGGTAGAAATGGCAGTCCATGTGTTACTTTATTACAGCAAGTTCCATCTAGAACTCACTGCTCTCCTCTTAGTCAAGGTTCCAGATTTGGACTAAAGAATTTTAACTACATTTTCTTTTACCCAATCAGTGCCAAGAGGAGACAGTTACTTATTTGGTCTGATTGAGGATGTAGCAAAGGTTCGTGAAGATGGTAAACACTGACAGATTCACTTGGCACTCAATCCTGTTCATCTTGAACCTCTGTAGTGTTTTCTTCTGTTTCCAAGGCCTCTTTCCTCTACTTCTGCCTGGAGCCTTTTCACTTCCTTACATTTATCCAGACACATCTGCAAACTACCACTGAACCTTATTCAGTTCCAGCTTCTATTCAGACGATAATCTCAGTATACTTAGA